GTCACTACTTAATCGACAGTGATAGCGATGTCTGCGTTCTACCATATAATGCTGCCATAGCATTAAGAGCACCCGCATCATTGACACTTTATTTGGCAAACAATTCCCCGATAAAGACTTACGGCACAAAAACCATAACCTTGTCCCTAAACTTAAGGCGCCAATTTACATGGCCTTTTGTAATTGCAAACGACAGCAAGCCAATAATAGGTGCTGATTTCATAAGAAACTTCGGCCTCCTGATCGACTTAAAAAACACCCACATTACAGACCCATTAATGTCCTTGACAATGACAGGATCCGCTCACCACGGCTCGCAAACTAACATTACTTTAATTGCTTCTAATTCAGAATTCAGCGACATTTTAACAAATATAAAGATATCCTTGTGCCATATCCATCTAGCACCAAACCCAAACATAACATGGTCCACCGTATTATTACCAAGGAACATAAGGTTTTTTCTTGTCCCTGCCATCTCAATCCAAAACAGCTGAAAATTGCAAAAAAGGAATTCCAGTTAATGTTAGAACTAGGCATTTGTCGACCGAGTAATTCCAATCCACTGCACTTGGTACCCAAACTGAATAGGGATTATCGTCCCACAGGGGATTACCGGGCCCTTAATAGAATAATGGTGCCGAACAGGTACCCACTGCCTCATCTACAAGATTTTGCTCAGAATTTATACGGGAAGATGATATGCTCGTGTTAAATCTATTTTGGAAAATAGACCTAACACGAGCATATCATCAGATCCTGGTCCACCCTGAAGATGTACCCAAGACAGCAATTACAACACTCTTCGGCCTTTATGATTTTTTATCAATGCCGTTTGGGTTGTCCAACGCGGCACAAACTTCCCAGAGGTTTATGCACGAAGTCTTACATGGATTAGATTTTGTTTTTGTCTACATAGATGACATTCTATTGGCAAGTAAGACAAAGGAGGAACATTACGTTCATCTGGAAAAGGTACGCGGACATTTATCAGAATATGGTATCCGAATAAACCCAGCTAAATGCATACTTGATACAAACGAATTACTCTTCCTAGATTATTTAGTTAATCTCGACATCAAACCTCTCCCACAGAAAGTAGAAGCCGCCATAAAGATTGAGCAACCCAAAACAATAAAGGACCTCCGTAGATTTTTTAGGCCTGTTGAACTACTACTGCCATAATATTCCATACGCCGCACAGGCTCAATTATTTAAATGGCACAAAACGATCCGACAATGTGGAAATTTCATGGACAGACAAATCAAAAAAGGCATTCGAGGAATCCAAAACTTGATTAGCAAACGCAGCTCTACTATCTCATCCAGCCCTGGATGCACACTTAGCGTTGCATGTTGACACATCAGATTTCGCCCTTGGCGCTGCGCTGCATCAGGTCACTAAATCCGGCACAGAGCCGTTACGTTTTTTTTTTTTTTGCGCAAACTTACAGATACGGAGAAGAAATATTCGGTATATGATCGTGAGTTGTTAGCCGTTTACTCAGCGATTAAGCATTTTCGTTCTATGGTGGAAGCTAGACTTTTCATGTTATATACAGATCACAAGCCATTGACATTCGCTTTTCTCCAGAAAAGTGAAAAATGCTCCCCCAGACAATTACGTCAACTAGACTATATAGGCCAGTTCACGACTGGCATTAGATACATAAAAGGAACTGATAATATTCTGGCCGATATACTTTCCAGAGTCGAATCTATCGTTTGCCCTTCTCCCATAAATTACAAATTAATTGCTGATGCACAAAAGACCAACCCAAGCCTCCAATCACTTTTGGAAAATAGTTTGACCAGTCTACAGCTTAAAAAACTAATATTACCAGAAAATCAAGAACTTTACTGTGACGTGTCCACCGGTAAGATTTGCCCTTTTATCCCCGAGACGCAAAGGCAATCAGTTTTCCATGCCACGCATGACCTTTCGCACCCAGGCAGCAAAGCCACAGTGAAGCTAATAATTGATCGGTTTGTATGGCTGGGCATGGAGGCTGACTGTCGCAAGTGGACAACTACATGCATTCCTTGCCAATGCGTCAAAATTACTAGACATACTAAAAGTCCAATTACAAGCATCCCCGTGGAAAAAAACGTTTCTATCACATCCACATCGACCTTATTGGTCCGCTCCCTCTTTCCAGAAATCATTGCTACTGTCTCACTATGATCGACAGGTATAATTGTTGGGTTGAAGCGGAACCACTGTGGGATATAGAGGCCGACACTGTGGCTAAAGCCTTATACCAGATGTGGATAGCATGGTTTGGCATTCCAGGGGTCATTACTACCAACCAGGGACGCCAATTCGAATCACATCTATTTCGGTCTTCGACTATCCTAATGGGTTCCAAGCACATACATACATGTTCCTTTCACCCCCAGGCTAATGGTATGATCAAAGGTTGGCATCGGACATAAAAATGTGCCCTGAAAACCTACTTAATAGAATGGTGGATAGTTTGAAAGCTTCATCATTTTCATACTACAGGAACATAAAATTATACAGTGAAGTGTATCTGCTTTTGTGTTTTTTTTTTTTTCATTTAAATATGTAAAAATTTAAAAATATCCTTCTGGTATTATTGGTGTACAAACTATAATTTTTAAATTATAGAAATATCAGAAGAATGTTTTAGCAATTTTACTTATTTAGGCAGCTTACAAAAGTTAGTTAACTCTGTTGTGTGGTTTGGTGTTCCTGTGAAGTGAAAGGGAGAATTTAAGATAAGCTGTATTTTTATATTTATCTTCTAATTACAAATGTTTTTCATAAAAGTTTGTCCACATTTTACATCATTACAAACTTAAAACATTAAAAATTTATATGACAGAAAAACATAATATATTACTCAACTTATTACTATTTTAAAATTTTTTTAAGATTAAGGCTTAAAATGCTCTAATATTAATACAGTGGTGCCTCGTATAACGGACGCTGTGAACAATGGACTTTCTGTTTGGCCGTTACCTGACTCGAACAACGGACTTTCTATTTGGCAGTTATGTGAGGCGAACAACGGTCTTTCTGCAAACAGATGTGAATGATGTTTCCACTCTTTTGCCGTTGCCAATGGCAATCTGCTATTTTTATAATATATTAGTATTATTAGAATATATTATTAATATATCTGAAGTACAGAGCTCCCGTTGGGATTCGGTTTGCTCCCTTGTTTATTACGTACATCACCTCAGTGCAGGGTATTTACATTTATTCAAGTGTTGTGCAAATCATGGCTTCTAAAAAAACAGAAAGGTGATTTCAATTGAAACAAAGGAAGAAATCATCAGGAGTGAAAGTTGACAAAAACTTCCTTGTCAAATGGGGAGAGGTTTAGGAGTTTACCAACACTCATTATTCAAACAGAGCTGAGGCCAACAAGACCAATGATCTCTACAATGATACCCTTGCCCGTCATTTCCGACAGATGTTGAAGACAGAGAAACAGACCACCTTGGACATGTTTTTCAAGAAGTCAGCTGCCAAAAAACAAAGAATGGAACAAGAGGAATTGACCCTGCAAGCTCCGGCAGCGTCTCCTGAATCTGACTCCAATTAAAAAACAATAAAAAGAGACCTGCTGCAATGTGTAAAAAGTCTGTATCTATATGATTGTGTGAAGAAAGTGTTCTTCCACCTCCTCCTCACAACATCTGACTACCTGGCATAATTGGTGACTGCTCCATTTTCATTTTTTTATGGTACAGTACGGTTATTTTATGCTGCGGAACGAACTGTATGTTTTAACACGTATTTCTATGGGAAAATGCATTTCGTATAACAGACTTTTCACTTAACAGACATGCACTTGGAATGGATTAAGTACTTGATACAAGGCACCACTGTATAATAATGTAATAAAAAATTAATATAATTGTAAGAGTGCTCATTTTATTGACAAGTGAAAATAACACTTGTTAATTAAATAATGTAATAAAATTAAACTTAATAAATACAGAATTAAATAACTTAAATAACATATATATTCATATTACTCAATTGTAAATGCATGTGCACAGTAATATCTAATTGATCTTTTCTTCCAAATTATTCTAAATTAACTAATTTATTTCTAATTATTAAATTTAACACAAGATGGCAGCTTAAGTACCTATCTTTAATTTAATAAAATTCACACCTTATTCCTTGAGCAGAGCTTTTATTCTTATGTGCAAATGTTTTATATGTATTAACTTTGCTGATATCTTTAATTTAAATTGCATAATATCTTTATAATTAATTAGCCACATTGTAATCTGATTATAATCTGGCAGTATTGTTTGTTCTTTACTATATGTCAGACTTGGCTTATACATTATTAATAATTTATATTCTAAAAACATAGCATTAAAATTTTATATTGTATAGTATTTTTAAAAGTATAAAAAGCTGTTTCAAAGAAATTTTTTTAATCTACTATTTGAGAGATAATTTTAAATTTTCTTTAAATATTCCAATGACAAATAAAATTGTTAATTAGTCAACAAGTTAATAAAATTTTACAAATATTTATGAAAATACTATATATCTTAATATTGATTGAAATAAAACACTAAGTATAAATGCAATTTACTTATGTATAGCTTTTAAAAACCAAAGATAGAAATAGATAAATAAATAAAACTCACGCCGAAATTGTATAGCCAAAGATAATTTCTTGTCTAAATCAAACTTTATATTCATTCAAATCAATTACCAGTTCATATTCTTATTATTAAAAATGATTATTTCCAATACAATAATAATGACATATACATTACAATGATTAAATAATAGTTTCAATAAAATTTGAAAATATCCATTTGAACATTTTTAGTGTAAATCATACATAGTATGAAAAATTTATAGATTTAATAAATATATTGTTTATAAACTACTTTTAGTAAAATATACATTTTAAATTAGCATATCAGTTTATGTTATTAATAGTAAATAAATTAAATCACCTATTATCTAAAATTATTTTTTTAATTATTTAAATTACCTCTAAACGAGATTGTAGTGTCCTATTAGGTTCTCGGTCTGTTTCTTCTAGCCTGAGAAATGTATCTGGAAGGGCACCAAGAAGTGGTGGTAGCCAACTTTTTACAGTGCGAAGAGGAATATTATTTGTCCCCGTACTGCATGGAGTTTTTACAGATGTATCTTCAGATTGTAAATTATTTTCTGAAGATGCAGTATTAGAAGAATTTTGTCTTACATGGGCAGCAACAGACGGCAATTCATTAGTTTGTCTAGCTCTCTGAGGTATGTCTATTAACTGATGTGGGGATTGTGGGATAGTGTGTCTTATTTCAGGAGAAGAATTTATTATAGTAGGTGCTGGGGAATGAGCAGGACTTTGAACATATGGCACTGCTTGGTGATAGGACGGTGGTGGGGTTGCAGGTGAATAGCATGGTGGCAACTCATCGTTTTCAGTAGCATCAAGTTCTGCTCTTAAACGTTCATTTTCATTATCAGTGCTCATTGCAAGCAACTGATCAATGGTAGAATCAACAGCACCATTATTAGCTCGTAAAACTACTTCAATTACATCTTCATCCATTTCTGGAAACATAGTCTTAAAATCTTGCATTGCTTGATGAAATTCTAATTGAGTTACAGGACGACTCTCTGGTACTTGTTGCTGAGGTTCTTCAGTAGCCATGATTAACACAATGCGAATATATTTTCATAGAAAAATTTACAAAATTTTTTTATAAATTATTATTGGGCAAAACTAAGAAGTGATAAGCTACAAATAAATATAAAAATAGGCTGAATATAATGTTTATAATTAAAAATTTTACTTTAGATATGGGTATTAAGTAAAAATAATTCCCACTGAGGGATAAAAGTGTAAAAGAAAAATTCTGTGCATTTCCTGCACAAAAATTCACTTATCTATGATCTATCATACTGAATGAAATATTTCAACAATTAAAATTATCACACTGATGTTTTCATTATTCACTGGATATGAAAATCTGAAAGGAAAAAATTTATCACATTAACAACTTCTAGTAATCATAATTAAAAAAATACAAATATAAAATTTTAAAATAATATGCTTTCATTATTACTTGTATTATACAATTTCATTTTTTTTTTCAAATACATATTTTACTCAATCAATACTCACTTAATCTCTACTCCTTTTGCTTGTAAAACTAAGTGTTTGCATCAAATTGAAATCATATATATTCATATTACAGACACTTTTTTGAATTATTAGTTTCTGTTGTATCAGCAGTAGACTGTTTTCCATCACAGAGGGGTGTGTCTGGATGTAGTCATAGATTATCCAATATAGTTGTAAATTAATATAAATTATTGGAAAAGTGGAACTTAATTCCTTTATTTTCATTTGGCTTTGGTTTCAATTAAATAATTTATTTGCTATATAAATTTATTGAATTCATATTGAAAACATATTGAATGATAAAATTTAGAGTTGAATTTTTCTGAATCTTGTAGTAATGTTTCTTTTTTACTTTAGTTTTTCTTACTTTTTTTATTTTAGAAAATACAATTTTCAAGTATTTAAAATTTGATTTTGAAAATTTATATCCAGTACTTAAATCATGTATATTTAAGATATTTGAGAAGTGCATGGCTTGACACATAATTTGTATTGTAACAATCCATTGCTTTTGGCATTCATATCCTTCCTTTTTCATCAAGAAGGCTATAATACCAACCAAAATTAAAACTGACATGAATAAAACTAACCTCTTTATGTAAATTTGTTCCATCATTTAGAATTGCCAAGACCCTTGTTTTGACTAAAAAGTCAACTGGAATAAAACATGAATTTTTAATTTTTAACATCTCCCAAAAAATAACTGATTTTCTCCTGGAATCAACTTTCTGCTATGTTACCTTTATGTAAATTTGTTCCATCATTTAGAATTGCCAAGACCCTTGTTTTGACTAAAAAGTCAACTGGAATAAAATATGAATTTTTAATTTTTAACACATGATTTATGCAGTAAAATGCATAAAGACATTTATGATTTTGCAGATTTGACTATTTTTGGGGCTAAATATGTGCTTTATAAACTTTATAGCTTGCTTGCATGATTGCAAGGTGCTATTTTTTTTAAATAATCCATTATTTGCAATGAATCTTTTTTGGACATGGTTTTTGGACATGTTGGTTTTTTGGACATGTGTTGGACATTGCATCAGAAATATCATGCTGACATACACAATTATAAACGAGCATGCAAAATTCAAATGTTTTTTTTTAAACATCTAACTTGCATTCTTTTAAAGTCCAATAAACGAACACATTTCTTGTTGCTACAAATATCTCTCATTTTTCAAATTCTCAAAATCCTTTGAATTAACTGGATTAAAATTATTGTGAATGTTATATATTTATTAATTTAATAAT